GGATATATCCTTGGAGATTCTAGGGAGTGGCTATTCAGACTGTGCTGTCTCTTGTCTTGTTCCTCCCTCCTTCCTAAGAACCTGCTGCTCCATTGCATTCCATCACATTATGATCTTACTTCAGCTTTCCTTTTCTTCACAGGCCTGCGAAGGTTGTAAATGTGAGGATTGGTCACAAAGTTACTTTTTCATCACCGTTGTAACTACGAACTCTATGGATCTCAGGTATATTTATACTTCTGATCTTCTCTGTTTTAAAAACTTTTTTTTCCTATCAATCTGCTGAGACTATTTCAATTCTTAACCAAAAAAAATTCCCAACTTTTAAACTCCCTGTATAATTCATTTTACTGATTCAAACACCCTGCTAATAGCCACAAACATACAGCTGTGATTAACAGAGGATTATTTATGTGCCCAGCATAGAAGTTAATTATATAAAGCACTGATAGAGCAGCACTGCAATTAAACCATCTGTTATGAAAACCATGGACTGTTTTATAGATTATATGGCAGTAATTGAGTTTGCGAGTGATTATACAACTGACAAGGAATTGTAAGCCAAATGTCACATCCTAATGAATATGCTTACATAGTATAGGTATTCTCAGATTACTATAAATAAATAAAGATATCACTATGGGACCACAATAGTAAATTTCAACTGGGTACAGGGATATGATAAAATAAAATTCAATTAGGACTAGGCCAAAGAATGTTAATTGCCAGGAATATTTCAGTGATGTCTTTCAATGAGAGCTAAAGAGTGGAAATTGTTTCTTGACTTTTAATATATAGATAATTTTGAAATGTTCCGACTCCACAGTTATTTTGAACTGATTATTTCCCTCCAACTGAAGGAATAGGGCAAATCGAAAGTGAACATAGGGAAATATCTCAACTAACAACATTAATTGTTGGTTGGTTTTTCTTCAGCTGCTACATATGTTATTTATGGTTTTGTAATATTTTTTATTTCATTTTTTAAATATTGCTAGCCACCTAGAGTCATGTATTTGAGGTGGGCAGTCACATAATTTGTGTGTGTGTGTGTGTGTTTGTTGTTACATTACTTGCTGCATTTATATATAGCCTTTCTCTCCATGTTCAAAGGTAGCTCATTGGTTAAAGCAGTAGCTTACAACTTAGTACAGATTACAGTGGCAATTGATGAATCATCTGAGGAGCATGTATAAAACATTCATGCAAGTTGTCTGTGGCAGAGACATGGAGGGATTCAAGGGAGTGTGATTAGGTCTATGGATTTGGCTGTCAGTTGAAGAATCCACATTCCAATAAACTCTGAGAACAAAAGAGGTATTCATCAGGAAGTCTGGTCTCACCTGGGGACTTAATAGCAGTATTCTTTAGCCATTTGCAGAATGTCAGGAATTTGCAGTCACAATTCCAGGGGTTACCGTTTATTCCCAAAATACGAAGTCTATACAGATTATTAAATATTTCAGCATTGAGGTAAGCCAAGCCACAGTCACTCACATCTATATATCTCAGGAGGGTGTTCTTTTCAAAGGCCCATTCCTTAATCTCCACCATCATTGGATTGCCAGAGAGATTCAGGAGCAGCAGCTTACTCAGTTGTGAAAAAGTGAAGGATGTTATGTGGGAGAGCCTGTTGAAGCTGAGATCCAAATATGTCAGTTTGACTAATCCCGGAAAGCTGAAATCCAAATCCATTGTTATCAGATTGTGGCTGCAATCTAGGTGGACTAGTTCATCGAGATAACTCATGGTTAATGGTGGTAAATTGGTGAGATTGTTCTGAGCCAGAATTAACTTTTTGGAAGTCAGTGGAATTGTGGTTGGAATATTGTCTAAATTCATTCCTGTGCAGTTCACTTCCCACTTGTTACAGGTACATTTTGCTGGACAGCTCAGGGCCTTTTCTATCCATTTCATTCCAAGTGCAAGAGTCATCCACAAAACTGTGGAACTATGAAAAGAGGGCAGAATGAAATACCCCATCCTGTATGTTTCTCTTCTTCAGCTTCATCAGGACTAGCCTTTTTGAAATTTCAAATGTAGAAGAGAATGTTAGTTCACCAGTTCCTCCCAGAAGAGCTCCAGGTCATCTCAGTTGTTACTGTTACCTTTATGACATCACCTCTTTGGCCCATACATCTGGAATTATGATGGTGATATACAAGTAGACCTGCCTATGTCAATTGTCTTAATAAATATTTGTTTCTTTTGTTACTATTTACACATATTCCAATATTTCATACTCTTGTAACAATAATTATATTATTACATAGCACAGTAATATTTACACAAGATAGTTTCACTGCTTCACATGTGAAATGTATACATTACATGAGGCTTTAGCATTTATATATATGCATTTGCATTTATGTCCATGATGACCAAGATTCTCAAAACTATGTTTTCTACAAGGAGTAGCTGAGCAGATGGACTGGGCTGTAAGCAATGAACATCAATGGAATCAGGTATAATTCCTAGTTAAGTTTACCTGTTTGTTTTCCTCCAGTTCAATGTATACGTATCTCTCCAGGTGTCCTAGTTGTAGCAATAATTGAATTTTTGGAAGAAATCTAATACAGTATTGTAATACTAATTGTTTATGTTCAACTATCTTGGCTGTAGATTATAACTGAAGAAAGAAAGCAGGATATTGATGTAACAACAAACATAAGAATTCTTTTTTGAAATCCCATGGGATGATGTAATCTTTTCTACTGGACATTCTAGGGTGCAACATGTAGCATAAGGAAATCTTTCTCCACTGCAAAACCTTGAATCCAAAGTCCTGTAGTCACAGAGAATGTATCAGTCTGCATCTCCAGATTGCTGCATCTCCAGATTGCTGCTTTCTTTGTGGATAGAGAAGGTTGGCTCTCCTTTTTGCAGCAATGACATTGGCTATGAAAGAGCAATCATGTCTCCTCCCCTTCCAATATCTCTGTATTTTTCCTGTGCCTAGATACCACTGCATATATGGAACTCTCTGGAGCTGAAGAGAACAATGTAATTTCTCCTCCTTCATGTCTTCCCTGCAGGTGGAAGACAAGCACTCTCTTTCTGTGTGCAAGGGCAAATGGGACGTTCGGCTTAAAGAGGAGGCGGCTCTGACCCCTCCCTCTCCATAACCAGATGCTCTGAAGAGGAGGAGATTTCAGGGGAGAAATCCCCATGACTCCTTTTTCAGGCATGGGCTTCAGACATAAGTTCATTCTTCAAAATCCATATTCTATGGCAGGAAAATTAATGGGGAGAAAGTGCATAGTATTTAATAATATGGGGTATTTATGTTATCATTATTAATATTCTTCCCTGCATTTTAAAGGTCATTTGGTGCACTATTAAAGATACAAGGCTATTTTTGGTTGCTTTGTATATTTAAATGAATTCTGAGTTTGCTTTGCTTGATTATAATCCATTCATACATGTATCATACACTTCTTAATTAAAATATAATCTTGGGAATTGAAAATGGTGATTCTCCGTAACCAATTTAGCATGGCTCACCTGATTTTGGGTGTGGGTAAAGGACCTACCTCCTAGTGCCATTGCACCAAGAGAAAAGGGAACTGCTGCCAGTGGTGCAGAAAGAGGTCTCCCTGTGTAGAGAGTACGGAAGATGACCATGACAGAGATATGCAGAAACCATTACCTAGATAAAAGGGCTGTAGCATTTATTAAGTGCAAAATAATGAATGCATTCATTAGTTGGTCATATATGATTATTTAAAGCATAAACATTGATAATTTCAGCATGAAAAGTTGCATAATAACTAGGTTAAATTGTTAGTAAATTTGTCTGGACTTAGAACTTTTTGAAATGTGCATCAAAATGTCTTTAAAAGAAGTTTTTAGAGTTAATGTTTCCTTATATAAATGTTTATATACTTTTATTTATGAGTGGAGGCAAAGCAAATTTGGTATTTCACACTGCAATAATTCTGTTCTGCTATACCTAACATTATATAAAATGTAGAGATCAATTGTCCATTAATCTTGTTTATATTCTTAATTATAAATCTATATGGATTTATACATTTATAGAACTCAAAAGGGTAAATAAGAAAGCAGTAAATAACTGGATATCTTTGTGTATAAGAGAAAAGTTTGCAGGGTGCTGTCCAAGGGATTCAGCTTGAGTGATAGCTATTTTCCAAGAGCATCAATTGGTATTTAGATCCCATATCTGGAATCTGTAGCTAAGAGAATTCACTGGTGAAAAGGATATGCTTTAGCCTAGCAACAGTTGTTAGGTGAACTATAATCCAGTTACTGTAATTGGAGGAGAAGTTGCTGTCAGTTCATTGTGACACATAACCTGACAATGAAGATGCTATCTAAGTACACAGAAGAATCTTCACAGTATTGGGGCACCACAACAGCAGATCTAATACCTCTATAGTAGCTGAGTAGGCCTTGAAGTTGTGCTACAAATCAGAAATAATAATGCCTAATGAGAAGAATCAGACTGAGATTTCAACCCTTGGTAAATTAGCTGCTCATGTCCCTGATTTCATTGTGTATGGAGATTTCTCTCAGGAAGTGCCTTTCATTGAAAGCTTTGATGGTGTTCTGCTCTTTGTGGACATTTCAGGTAAGCAAGGGAGATCAGGGTGCCACTGAGGGAGGAGGACAGATTTCAGAGACTTTTTTTTTTTTTAATGGAAACTTAAAGTATTAAGTGAGCAGAAATAGCCCTACATCTTTGCTGCTCATCCTGAAAATAAAGCAAGATTTTAAAATATCCATATAAACACACATTAATCCTCAAGGGAATTACTGATTCTTCAAAATGTACATCTATTTAGCTATGATTTTTCCTTCCCTGGGCAAAAAAAAGCCTTACTTGGAGGATACAGTAATGCACAGTGCAGGAAACAATGCTCTACATGTTAACTGCCATCAAGGGGAAATTCTATGGAGATTTTCCTTTGTCAGCTGAAACCAATAGCTGCTTGTTTCTCTCCTCCAAGCCAAAACTTTCTTATGAAAGTCTAATGAGTCAACTCCTGCCTGTCCTTCCTTCCTTCAGCTCTAATCACAGTCTCAAACTGTTACACTGACAGCAATTGCTTATGATTTTCAAGGTTTCACAGCTCTGACAGAAAAGTTTAGCATGAACACCAGCTTGGATCGTGGTGCTGATGAATTAACACAGACCCTTAATCACTACGTGGGTGACATTGTTGAGGGTGAGTCTAGAACTATGTATGATCTGACCTTGAAGAATACCTATCTTAGAGTCTAACAGAGTATTTTCAAATTATCATTGTTTGAAAACAGGTATTTACTTTCTAGGAGAGAGAACAAAGCTGTGCACAGAAAACATGGGTATGAAGCAGGTGCACAGTTGTTACTTTGTTGTAGAGCTTCAGCTTCCGAAATGCCAAATTCTCCCACTGATCATATTGCAACATCTTGTTGTTGGAAGAATGTCTCAATTAGTTATACCACTGAATATTTATTAGACACAACTGTGTGTTTTGCCACACTGAAATGTGTACAGGAGATTCAGGGTTTCAAATGCAATGAATACACTAATGGAGTAAAAGCAAAAAGGATTAAGCAAAGCACTGCAAAGCTATAATTTACAGTATAATATAGACTGGGAATACCCACAGACAAGGCCGTGAAAAAAGACATGGCAACATTTGACAAAGAAATGTAAATAGAGGATAAAATCTCACTTCCCTATGATAGCTGGGAGCCCCTTGTCCCCAGATTATTCCAACTAGTGTAAAGCACCCTCCCTGGGCAGGCCTCTTCCTTCATCAGTTTCTGAAAACTTGTATAATATTCTGTGGCAATTACTCATCCTTCTAATTGTGCACATTTATTGTTTAGACTTCTTGCCTAGTAGTTATGAAATGTTTATGTGAGATAGTAACGGCTCATCTATTATGTTCTCCTCATTATCTGGCTACCCTTGGCAAAGCACTTTTAAAAGACACAAGCCTCTTGAATTCAACTATGTGAGAAAATGACCAACTAAGGTGTTGGGGTAGCAAAGAATAGAGGCCTGTGAACTTTTGAGAAGGCCCAAGCTTCACCTGGCCATACTTTGCACAAGCATGCAGAAGAGAAGCCATTGTGTACAGAAAAACACAGAGGAAAATGGGCTGCACCACTTAAACTTCCTCACGTTGGCAGAGTATTTTTTACACATTTAGAGTTGGCTTCCACAATAGCACTACAGCATGACATTTCTGATATGTTGCAACCCTTGTGCCTCTTCCCAACCTGCAAATTTGTGGCTTGCAAAAGATCTGAAACCAACCTGTGACTTGCGTGCACTTGTTTTAATTTGGCTGCAACTCCCTTTTGGCACACTGAATACTTTCTGGTATGGAAGACTTGAAAATGAGTAGGACAGAAGGAAAGCACTTCCAATTTATTATGTATGCAAAGGATATTTGTGATATTATTCTCTTTGCATTGGGAATAGCCAGACAGTTTGAAAATGGCAGGATCATCTGGATAAATCCTAACCAGAAACTTAAGAGTAACTCAGAATTCCCTAAACCTAACCTGGAGTTTCCCGTATTAGTAAAATGACAGCAGCTGTCATTATCTCTAACCAGCACAGACATCTGACAACTCATTCCAGTCTGTGCCATCCTTTGTGGCTCTTCCAACTTTTTTCAGACCACAGAGGTCTGACTTATTTCATAAAAGCAGAGCATAATATATTCCAACTATTCTTTTTAGTCTTTATGACAGTTGGATTGAACATTTGATTTAAATCAGCATTACTACATCATTATAATGCAACAGAATGTAAAAATTAATGGCAGTGCTGTACCTCCCTTTCACCTTTTTTAAACACAGGGAAATATAGTATATTAACACCATAATACAAAAGTGCTGTGGGTTTTTTTTAGTGATACTGTCCTTTATTATATCATTAATTATGTGAACTTTTAGAAATGATGAATGGTGCTGTTGTGCTACTTCCATCTTCCTTCAGAAAGAAGTCCCTCTGAGTTCAGTGGAATAAGCTCCACTGAGTCATGGAATGGCAGCCTATAAACACCTCCCATGAGCAGAAAGGGAGCTCTGGGGTTTAAAAAAAATTTTTTTTAACGATGTGGTTCTAAGGTAGCTCTCTTTCATTTTAGCCATAAAATACCCTAGTAATAACTAAAAGTTAAATTTATAAAATAAATTGGATCATAAAATGGCACTCAGCATAAGTGTCATAATGAATGTATGCTACATTTCAAATATTTCTGCCCCCATTGGCAGTTTCATGCCCAGTTGGGGTGAACATAGTGGGGATATGAAGTGCAGCACCCCTTGGATGTGTGGCAAGTCAACTGCAGTTCTGCTTGTACAATAAAAGAAAGATGACTGGGGGAATACCAGGACATCCTCTCTGGAAGCAGCTAATTGGAAGAACCATTTTTCTCATAATTTTTTCTCTGTCATGCAGTAAAAGATCTTCTGTAAATCTTTCTTTTTCTTTCATGTATAGAAGTACTGGTGTTTGGAGGTGATGTCCTGAAATTTGCAGGTATGAATTGTGAAAAATAAAATTGGAGTGACTTTATTATCTTTACGTACACATTGAACGACTGAATTATTATTTTTTCTTTTATTGTGTTAGTATAAATCTTGATAGATCATTTCAATGCAATGATATTTATATAATATACTTACATTTTTACCATTCTCTATCTTAGAGTATTGGATATAAAATTATGAAAAAGAGGAAAAAAGGTGGATATTGTTATTGATATTAGTTACAATTTAGGATATCAGTGTTATGATTATTTGGTTTTTTCATTCAAAGTTAAGTATAACACTGGAAAATAAGAGCATACTGCACATCGGGGTATTTGTTACATAATAAAGGTTTTGGTCTTAGGCTAAATTACTTGATAATTGAAATCTCCACTGTATTGTTACTTGGTACATATCTGTGAGCGTGTGTGTGCTTATACATGTTAATAGAAGGAAAAAATAGATGAACAAGACAAGTTTAACAA